GTAGAAGAGAGAAGTTTAATTGAGTAGGATTGTTTTGAGTAGGGAAGAGATTCAACACAATACTAATAAAATGAAAAATGTAGCAAAGAAGATGAAGAAAAAGAGACGGCAAGGGTATTTTGCTCATTTGGCGTGTCAATTTCTATATTTATAAGTAGGTAAATGGGGTAAAACTGAAGAAAATAATTAATGCAACATAGAATTCTTAAAATATCAAATAAATTGAAACAAATTTCAACATCTAAAATGTGAAATATTTAGGATCAGATTAAGTACTAATTTTGATTGTAAATAAGATTCTATTTATTTGTAATTTCTATATTTTGAAGTTTTTTTACTTTTATTTTTATTTTGTGTTGTACAATAAAAAAAAAATATTCTCTTCCTCTTCCATTTACTCACTCTATCTATGTTGATTACGATTTAAAACAAAAGATTTTTATTAAATTACTTAAGTTATTCATCTTTTACATATCCAAATTGAATTGAATGAGTCGTAGGCATGCATTACGGCTAATGATGATTATATATCCACTCCTTTACGTTCATAGGTTTTCATCTAGTTATCATTTTTTTTTCTTGCAATAGATAAAATCTAGGTATCTTTGACTCTTGGTTTCAGTTTTAGTTTTCTTTAATTTTTTGGAGTATTGATTGGGCTTCTTTTTCATTTTTTTCCAAAATTTTGCTCTCTCTATCATAAATTTTTAAATTTTCAGCTTTGTACCAGCCTACACAGAGGGTATATTTGGATAAATATTAGTAAATGAAAAATAAAAGGAGAGGGAGGTGAAGGGAAGGGAGGGATTATTATTAATTTTATTTGAATAAATAAATATGATAAAGGATGATAATATTTTTGTTTAATAAAATAATTTAAATAAATATAATATAATAAATTTTTTAATTTTGTTGATTAAATAAATTATTATATTTATTTATTTTTAAAAAATTTAAAAAATTATAAATTAACGAAACAAAATTTATCACATTCCCTTCAAATTAGAGGATGAAAAATATAATAGGTTAAAACCCCTTTTTGGTCCCTGAACTAAAAAAATCCCTGCTTTGGTCCCTATTGTTTACCATTTTTACCCCGATTTGGTCCTTCCATTAAAAATTGTGTGACATGGCCTATTACTTAATGGTTACCAGATGACATGTCATATAGTAATATAAAAAGTGATGATGTGGAAAAAAAATAATATAAAAAAATATTATGAAAAATAAAACTTAAAATTTTTTTTCTTTTCTCTTTTTTTCTTTTTTTCTTTTTTTCTTTTTCTTTCTCCTTTCCCTTTCCCTTTCTCTTTCTCCTTCCCTTTTCTCTTCCTCCTTCCCCTCGGAACCCAGCAGGCCTGGGTTCCTTCGAACCCACCCAGGCGCTGGGTTCGCCTGGGTTCGTC